TCACTTGTCGTTGTTTGTCGTCGTTGTTGTTCAATCGTTGAATCGTCGTCCTTACTCGCATCCGATGCACGATCGAATGTCGCCGCGCAACACCGAGCGATTACCATCGGTGCGCCTCCGGCGTCGGCGGGAAAAACTACACCTAAACTAATCGCGAACTCGATTCCCGTTGGAAACTGGGACGCGCTCCGAACCTCCGACCTTGAATTCTCGAACCTTTGACCTTGAACCTTGGACCCTCGAACTCGGAGAATCTCGAACTTGGAAAACTTCCAACTTCGAAATTCTCGAACTTCGGAACCTCGAACCTCGAAAATTTCGAACTCCAAATTCTCGAACCTCGAAAATTTCGAACCCGAAATTCTCGAACTTTCGATTCTCGAACTCTCAAACTTTGAACTTTCAATTTTCGAAGTTTCAAAATTTTGAACCCAAAATTCTCGAACCTCGAAAATTTCGAACTTTTAATTCTCGAACTTTCGAAATTTCGCACTTTCAATTCTCGAACTTTCGAGTTTCGAACTTGAAATTGTCGAACTTTGAAAATTTCGAACCCGCAGATTTCGACGTTTCGATTCTCGAACCCGCGAAATTTCGGACTTTCGATTCTCGAACTCGCGAGATTTCGGACTTTCGATTCTCGAACTCGAGAACGTTGAATCCTTGAACTGTCAAATCTTGAACTTGAAATTCTCGAACTTTCGAAATTTCGAACCCCAAATTCTTGAACTTTCGATTCTCGAACTCGCGAGATTTCGAACTTTCGATTCTCGACGTTTCAAATTTGGAACTTTCAATTCTGGGACTTGGCAAATTTTTGACTTTCAATTCTGGGGCTCGGAAATATTGAACTCCGAGTCAAATTGAACTGTTTGATTTCGAACTTTCGATTCTCGAACTCGCGAAATTTCGAACCTTCGATTCTCGAACCTCGAAAATTTTGAACCCGAGATTCTCGAACTTTGAACCTGGTACTTCAAATCGTCGAACCTCGACGGACTCGAACTTTGAAAATTTCGAACTTTCGATTCTCGAACTCGCGAAACATCGAACCCTGAATCCTCGAACTTTCGAGTTTCGAACTTTCGATTCTCGAACTTGCAAAGTTTCGAACTCGCGATTCGAGCTCCAAAGTTTGGCAATTTCGAGTTCAAGGTCGAAAGTTCGAGAATCGAGAGCTCGAAAATTTCGCTACCTCGAGACCGGCGAGTTGAAAACTTGCGGGTTCCGAGCTTTCAAAGTCGGAGTCGTTTCTCGAGGTTCGGGAATTTCCAAGTTCGAGAATTTCGAGGTTCGAGAAGCCTTTCCGAGTTCGAGGTCGAAGGTTCGAGAATTTCCAAGTTCGAGGTCGCGAGTTCGAGAATCTCGAGTCGAAAATTTTGGAACCTCGACGACTGAAAGTTCCAAATCTCGCGAGTTCGAGAATTTCCAAGTCGGGGCTCTTCGAACTTGGAGCTTTCCAAGTTCGAGCTCTCCGAGTTGGAACTTTTCCAAGTTCTTTGGAGAACTTCGAGGTTCGACGGTCGGAGGTTCGGAGCGGG